ATATTTCATTTGCAACTGCATGGGCAAATAAGCAACCGGTTCAGATCTCTGATATGAATATAAATATACGCATTTGTGGAAATACATACATAATTTTTGCAAGTGTCGAAAGTGTTTTTAAATTGTTTAACATCTTCTTCTTCTGAGTTTGTCTGTCATTAACTTTCTGTCTCTCTCTCGAGCACGCTCCCTTTAACCCTCTCTTCATCTTTCTTTCCCTGTCACTCGGTCAATCCTACTCTATTTTTCTTCCCTCTCCCTTCCACTGTTTACAACAGTTCCATTTTGCCTAATTCTTTTGTCTCTGCTTCTGAAAAATTCAGAAGTCGAAGCCTCTGGAAGTATAACGGATTATGAGTTTTTAGGAATTCGTTTGCAGTAGATTGCGAAGCTTCGCGCGACTTTTAAAGCCAGGGGTGCTCAAGCAAGACAACAACAATTTCGTTGTTTTTTTTTTTTTGGATCGCCAAACGGTTTTTGTCTTCTGTTTTTTTTTGTAAATGCACTGCCATAAAGCAGTTTTGAGCACCCTTGTTTTAAATATTTGTGCAAAATAATTACTATTTTTATTATACATATTTACATATATCTTTCAGGCACATCATGATGAAAATGAAACAGTAAGTAATACCATTGTATGATTGGTTTGTATACAAATTTTGTAAATGTATAGGTGGACGTCTCTTAAATTTTGTTAGAATCAAAGAACTCGAAATACATTTAAGGAACGAACATTGACACTCGAGCTAAGAAAGCTTATCAGTGCAATTGTAGCTGAACACTTACATATGTAGTTTCAGTGAACATAAAGATTTCGCAGCAAATGTTTTTCGATGTCGCTGAGCAAATTTATTTATTTCTTTATACAATGCTGACCAATAGTTAAAACTAGGAGCTAACAAAAATAGGGGTTAGAGCTATAGCTGCAAGAGGCCTTCAGTTCTGAGGGTCGTTAAGTATTTTATACTAACATTTTTTAATTATTTATTTTATATTATTATTCTACTTATAGTTTTATAAATATATACATTTTCTGGTGAACTAATATACCTTAGGAATAGTTTATATTTTGTAGATTATATTTGATTTTTCTAGGAAAGTGAGGATCATTAGGGAATTAACTTTGGTGGGATTGGCTAAAGCCTGGGTGGGGTTTAGATTGGGAAATGATGAGGATCGTTGTGTCGAGAGAGAAGGGCAAAGGGAAAGGATATGGTTAACGTCTAGAGGAGTATTGTTGCACAGTGGGCATGTGTTCGGTATTGAACGGTCAAGATAGTGTGTGTTTGTCATCTTTGTGTGGCCAAGACGCAAGCGGGTGATTACAATTCGTTGTCTCCTATTAAGTTCGGGAAAGTTATGGGGGAAGTTAGGTGGTGATAATTTAGATATGTATTGGTACCATGTCGAGGATTTGTTTATTAATTCTGTGTGTCTGTGTTTTAATGATTTTTTGAGGTTCTGTGTGATATCTCTGGAGTTGTGATTGTCTGTGTATATGAGGGGTTGTCTGACACAGAAATAAAGGTAAGACAAAATTTAATTGTTTTAATTATATTTAATACTCCATTACTCATTTTTAGAATACATATTTTATAAAAAACAAAGGAAAAAAACCAGGAGGTTTGTTATACGCAAAGTATTACAATTTAAAAAACAAATTTAAAAGTGTGGCTTCAGCTGATGTTGTAATAATTCACCATAGATCGCTCTATAGGTTACCGCCAACTTTCCGGCGTGGGATTCGGTCTTTCCCATTTTGGCAGCAGAAGTGTGAAGTTTAAAAGGTGCAACTCGTCTAAAGAAAAGTAATCGCGAGTGTAGAAACTCCAACGCCAAGGGAAAATTTTGGATTCCCGGACGTTTGAGCAGTGGTCTGAGGTGAGTTTTTAAGGAATAAAGGGGAAAATCCCAGCAGTTCCTCAGTGGTTTTTTTATTGATCAGGCGAGCGAATGGGCGAGAATACCAAGGCCCAAGAAGCGAAGGAAAGGCTAAGAAAACCAGCAGTCGGCGCAGGCGCAACCAGTATATCGAACGCACATCAAACCGAAGCGCACATCGAGCCTAGCGCAACCGCTTTAAAATTGGCAAAGACGGGCATTTAGTTGCATAAAAGTTGTGTTAAGTCGGCATACGGCCCTAACCTTATCTCTAGCGAGCGAGCTGAGCGCCGCTCGTATGTAAAACCAAACGCACACCCACACCGAAAACGCACAAAGCAAATTAGTTAAAACTTAACTTATGTAAGTCTTAAGTTCGACAGCTAAGAGGAGATGTTCGATCGAGCGCAGCTTTAGTTTCGTTTCCCCTCTAATTCGCGTATGATGTCGGCGCGCGATCTGCTCTGAACAGAGGCAGATAAACATTGAATTGGCATCAAATTCGGGCCAAATAATGCTGTAAAAATACCCGGAAAGTTTGGCCGCGAAAACGTCCCAAGAGGGAGAAGTGATGACCTGGTTAGGAGAAGTGGATTCAAAAAATGAAGTGATGATTTTTTAGTTAATTAGTTAATTAAGTTTTTTTCTGTTAATTGTTAAATATGGCAGTGGCGGTGCGAATGTCGATCTAGAAAACCCCAAATCGTGGGAAAAAAGGTGCAGTGTGGTGTGATGAGGTGATGCAGCAAAATTGTTTTTTTTGTTCTTTTTATTGTGTACATTAATTCTTAACCCCTATAGCTCATCGCATCCCGAGGAAAGTGCTTTCGTCGATGGATTGCATTAAATATCGGTGAGTGAGAAAATCCAATTTGAATTCTGTATCATACAGAAAAATATATATCATCGTGACCAGAAAAAAAATGAAAATTATAATATTTTGACCTCAAACGTCAAGAGAATGAGCAGAAAGAAAAATGAGTGAAACTCAAAGCGCTCTAATGTAGAAGAAAAAAAAACTCAATTTTGGTTACGACTCAATCGCACGGGATAATAGTTCTGCAGTCGTACTTTTTTATTAATCGTTTTAAATTAATTTCTTTAAATGCGGATTAAATTCCCTTCCCATTGGCCTAAGTTTTGATTTTTATTCAGGAAAAGAAAGAAATATTAAAAGTTAATTTACGTATTTCTCACATTCAATATTTATACGCTTTAATTAATATATTATTAGTCATATGTCGTATTTATACATGTCCAATGTCTAATGTCTAATGTTAAGAATGTTTTTAGCGGTTAATAAAACTTTTATAATGTTTTAAGAAAATATGAGTTTGGCCGCAGCTAGCGATGTAGGGTAGCGCTTAAGAAAAGGGGTCGCTCAGGCTAATGAGCAGGTGGTTGGCTCGACTAGACCTTCATAACACCTAAGGAGGCGAAAAGGGGAATTCAGCAGCATTAGGGTATTTTCTCTCTTTCAGCAGCAATAATTATATGTGTGTCTCTATCTTTTCCGGTTCATTGTTGTTGCACGCGATTATTAGAGTAACATTAACACCACAGCCTTAGTCGACGAGCCGCCAGCCGGCAACTATTTCGCGTGCGCTTGTGTTTCACCTTCAACATCTCGCCTGAAATAATTTGCAGTGTAGCTACCCGTTACACCTATGCGCCTAATATCGAAATTAAGGTAAGACTAGATATGAGATATTTGTCATGAGTACCGCAGCAACTGTGGCTGGGATGTAAACACATCTTTCAGACCACTGTTATACTACATTACCAACTAGATGAAAATTAAAATTAAAGGAAAAATTATATGAACCCACACAATCACGAAGAGGGATAGTTATTTCACTCGCGGAATTCCTAGTATTCCTCGGGTGTTCTAAAGGAACTACATCTGCCCTCCCTGCCTTGGCCATTCTTTACCGAAAACCTCCCATAATAACATTGAATGGCCCCTTTAACTGAATCGGGTTTTACAGGGGACTCATCCTAGTCGAAGGCAAACAAAAAATAGATTTAAGCAAATCATTATAAAATATATTTAAAACCTAATAACATTTCTTAATACTAGAGAACATATTAAAGAGATATTAAATAAGAACATAAATACATGCAATACAATTAGATTATTAAATGAATATTCGAAGTTAAATGACAATACGAATTTAACATCAAAAATATCGTTTGAGAGTGAGTTTACGGAAGCTGCAGAAATTGCAGAGATGAGCTTTCGGCGAAATCAAATGGAGTGGTTTTGCTTCTTTCAAAATTTATCTCACAAAAAAACTCGAGAGGCGAGAGAGATGATAAATCCGCTCTTTTTTCTTCTCCTTTACGGACTATTTAAGCTTTTATGCTTTGAACGGTGGGACATATAATAACTCTTTTGGTATATATTTTCATGGAGACATATTACCAAAACGTGATATTTGACTCTCCACCATTCCGGAGATCCACCGACGAAAGCGCTTCTTTTCCGTTAGGCTTTTTTTCTAACACATTATTTGATTTAACCACCAAATAAAATTAAAATAAATATTGCTTACAGCAATCTGGACCTTTAGCCGCTCTCCATTAAAGCCTTCCTTGCCTTCTAACCATCACCACACTTTCCTTTTTCCTATTTTTTTCTTTTTTTTACACTCACTTGCTTATCTCACATAACCTAGACAAAAAAAATTACAAAATAACTTATGAATTATCCATTTTCCGCATTCTTCGACCGATCTTTGGCTCTCCGATTTACTTTACATTTCGTGCGGCGTTTAAACTATTATTCTATATTGTATACGTCGAGTTAATTTTAATTTAGTCCGATCGTGGACCGAGGCGTCTTGCCTAGGTCAGCGCGCCGAAAAACTGCCTGCCAAGCGGAGCTTCGCTAATTTACGCTCGCTTGCGGGAGATAACGAAGATGATGAAAACGAAGAATAAATGCAATATGTAATCTGGGAAGGTGTTAAAACTTAAGTTCTCTTGGACTATTTTCCCCTCTCTCCATCCTAATTCGGCTCCCAGCGACTAAGGTGAATTTAATAATCAACTCGAGTGACTTTTAGGCCTTTGAGACCCCTTTGGTGACGATAATTTTCCTTCTGTCGGATGAATTCTCACTTCTTTGGGGTTTCTTGATAAATTTATTCCCCCTACAGAGCAAAGACCGGATCCAATATCTGACACTAAGCGCCAAACCTAAATCAAAAAAAACATTTGGGTCTGCAATTTCCATAGCCGATTCTTTTCATTACCCATGAACAGGATTTAGCGCTATATTTAAGCTAATCCGGAAATTCTGTCCGTCACATTAACACACTGCCACTATAGTTATATCAATTTTAGGTTAATTCTCACCAACTAATTAAGCTTGCACTTACAATTAAATTGAACTGCACTCGATGACTGCCAAAAAGAGAAAAAGCCAGCAGCTCGTGGCTCTGGGCGGGAAGCTAAATTAGCCCCCATAGGATAACTCTCCGTTTTCCGGGAATATGACAACTGACTCTGTTGCTCCTTTAACTCCGAAAATTCTTACCCCAATCGCGGCACCCAACTGACCACTAGATGGCGACACTTTCAGTTTTTTTGCCTCATAGATGGCACTGGCCAGCGATTTTGGTCCTGCTTTCTACTGGCAAGGGCCTTATGTAAACAGTTGGCCAGCCTACTGTGAATCTGTTGAATACGATAATCTTCTGTTCTTGCATATTCCCTTCTAACTCTACGTTTCAGACTAAGCAAGGCCGCAATTCTGGGTGGTAAATGGAGTGGTCTAGGAGCGTATGTGTCATGATTTAGTTTGCTCATGAAAAGCCTGATGTCATTATCAATAACCCCCGCCTCTAGCATTTGTTTATTAACCTCGCTCAGCTGTTCAAGATGGGCTTTGAAGACGTTTATGTTAGCACCGTGGGCAAGTAATCCTGATCGTTGTGGTTTTTTCAACGGCGTGGTATGCAGTTCAGCCAAAATCGGGGAGTAGTCCGACGAAGGTTCGTGAAGTGTTCGTACATTTAGCCTGCCCATGGTGAACCCATTAGTTACAAAGAAGTCTAGTGCTGACGGTGCTATCAGGGGATTGTAGGAGTAGAAAGTGGGTTCGCCAGTAGCCAGAACTTGGTATTGCCCATTAACAAAGACTTCTTGCATCAGATTACCTCTAGAGCAGGCTCTTGAATTACCACACCATACATGGTTGGAATTATAATCACCTCCAACAATTAATTTGTTGCCTAAAGCAGAAAACATTGATTCTAATTCGGCTTTTGCCCATCTTTCCCTTGGAGGCAATTATCCAGCAGATATTGTGACAATCCCCTCCGATGTTTGCAGGTGAGCGCTAGCTATCCACTTATATCTTATAATGACTGCAGAGCCACCTCCACCCACAGTTACCACTGGGGTGGAGGGCGTGATAAGTAAGATAACCTGGCAGGTAGATGCGCTGACTATCGCGCATGTGTGTTTCTGTGGCAAGCATGACATCTATATTATGAGCATTGAGGAATAATCGAAGCTCTTCATAACCTCTAATTAATCCACGAACGTTCCACAATCCGATTTTTAAGATTGGTTGAGTCATTTCGGCATCCGTGAAATAAGAACTTGGACCAGTTCTCTGAAAGCTTTGTTAGCCTCGACAGTTTCCTGTATAAGCTTAAATAGTTGGTCCATTCTGGAGTTGATGGCACTAATGGAGCTTTCTAGCGCAACGTTGTTTGTTGTTGAGGCTAGAGTCAGAGGGTGAGCCTGCGTCGCTCTGCAGAGTTTTATGAGTTCTTGGTTGGATCTTGTTGGATCGGACAATGTCCGCATAGGATATGTTGGTCCTTAATGCCTCACCTGATATGTATCCACGAGAGGAGCGCTGAGTGGGGATGTTTGTCACAGGACTATCAGTCATCGGGAGCCTAGGCCTTGGCCTACTACTACTACTTTGTCTGTAGAGGCATGATCGCCTCCACAGTTTACGCACAAACATATATCGCTTGTGCAGAGTACTGAGCCGGTCATATGAGGACCACTACATTTACCACAAATAGGGGTCTGGACACAGTAGTTCTTAGAGTGCCCAAAAATTTTGCATATTTGACATTGTAATAGGTCTTTTCTACTGGAGGCACGTTCAACAGTGACTCTGTATATGTCAAGTTGAGTTATTTTTAGGGCCTCTGCAACGTTCGGGCATTGTTTTAGGTTGATATAGAATAAATTTTGACTAGTTTTCTAGTTTATTGTATTTTCATTATCTTCCTCATTGACCTGAATGTACTTCCAGTCTGTCTTTTTGGGGTAGTATGTATTTAGCACCTCAAAGCCGTGGTCACTAAATGATTGTTCTGTCTGTGATTTGGGAACATTAGCATTGGTGCCTTTGAGCACTACTCTGTAGGGTTTATCTTCCTTAAGTTGATGATACCAGAATAGAAAGTTTAACGTTATTAGAGTTTTAACAGCTGCACGGAAAGCGTCAGAGTTTGTTGTATAGATTCTGGAAACACCACACCTAGAGGTACGTATATTATAATTAGAGGAACCAATGCTCTGATTAAGGGCCTGTTCCAAGGAAAACGGATCGCTTACACTCGGTATGCATATAGATGGCGACTTGTTTGATTTTGCGGGTTGTCCAACTACTTGGGGGGCAGCAGGGTCATCATTGTCAGAGTCGGCATAAGACAGGTCTTGGTCCATAGTCTCCGCTCCATCAGACAAAATCTCATAGCGATTGTCCCCCAAGCGCGCGGCAGGGGATGTAGAGGCCGCCTCGTTGGGAGGCACATTGGTCTGCCGTTTAGTATTGCGGATCGGAGAGGGAGGAAGGATAGATAAAGGGGTGTTGCTGCTAATTCTCACCATCGAGGTGGTGATCGTTGATTGTGCAGGCACATAAGCACACAGGCAACGAAGATTTTTATCACTTGCGTGGGGTTTTTGTCAATTGTGACTCTACGAGTGCTGGGGCGGTACTGTAATTACTTACCGTGCAAGTATCGCTGGTCCTCAAACAAATCAAATGAAACCAATTGGTCAAACAACTGGTCAGTTTTTGCGATCTCCGTCTCCATGCTTCCACTTCTCAACACTCAATCAATCAAAGACAAAACTTTTACTCGCGCCCCGGGCGAAAATTTCAAAAGAAAAAGACGATACCGGAAGTATACTTCGGTAACTTTCCGAACGGAGAAAGGACTTCCCCCACAATTTTTATCTCTTTCAATTTTTTAAAGTTTTAGACTATTTTTTTTGTCGGGTTCAAGATCTTTTCTTCTCGATCAGCGAATTCGAGAACAAAAAGAACAATTTCTCTTCGATTTCAAGAACGTTTCTTCTCGATAAAGTGAGAAGTAAAATTAATGAATTAGAGCAGTTTTGCTCTTGGTTTTTTCGTTCTCAAATTTTCTCGGTGTATATACTGCAAGTGATTGCTGAAAGAGAATCCAACGCGGTCCCAGAGTATGTGCGAAAGAGAAGAGCGAGATAGTGCCGGAAAGTAGGCTCCCCTGAAAGTTTGCTGCAGTTAGTGGTCTGTGGATCTGCCAGGTTACGAGACGTACCCCACCCTTCGTCGGCTGACTCGGGAGGCCTGAGATTGGCTTCGAAAGAGCAAGAACAGAAGTTATTTGCACTAAGAACGGTCCTTATCCCACTGCACTATCACAAGCTAACACTTGGGAGTGTGACGAAAGGCGTTTTAAGAAAGTTGGACAAACTTGTACGATTCTATTTGAGAAATTGGTTAAATCTTTCACTGGATGTGCCGGTAGCATTCATTCTCGCCCCCCATGTATGTGAGGGACTCGGAATTCCATCAATAAGATATATGACACCGATGTTTCGTTTAAAAAGATTGAGCAGTAAAAAATGGGCTCATCTCGAACAATCCGAGAATGCTAGCTCTTTGATCGAGGATGAAAAGCGGAGGGCTCGGGTTAGGTTAATAGCGGATCTTACAGAATTGCTTCACGTGTTTGCTAACAGAAAAGAACTATTAAAACGGAATTCAAATTCGGATAAATGCCCTACTTTCAAAGTCTCGTACTACGAGGGGAAGGCAGGAATTGGATTGACAGTGTCGTGCAGGATGTGAAGCTCCCGAAACAACAAACCACATCGTGCAATAATGCCACCGAAAGCATGGGAGGTGTGTAACTCGACACAACTGCGTAGTAAATTCAATCAAGGTGGGACTTGAATTAGTATTTTCGTGTTTCCTGGTATATTTAGACTTTTTTGTCTTGGCTAAATATCGGACGATTTTGCCTGATGGCTTGAACTTTGCTTCCCTTACTTACTATTAATGTTGAATGCTTAATTTTTATTTTATTGCTACAATTGAAAGCTATCGATAGGGGAATACCGCCCGAGGAGATGGCAGTGTGGCCGGAAAAAGAAGGGGAAATGTGAAACGTAAGAGGCGCCCCTGGTGGACGATCCGGAAAGAGCACCTTAATCTGCTCTTAGATTACGCCACCTCTCCTGGCCCAGAAGTATCTCCACCCACACCAAACCAGGAGGAACTGCACCCACGCCTATAGCTGAATGAGAGCCAAGCGGCTACGTGATACAGATGAAAGAGGTTTCTGCCGTTGGCGAAAACCCGAGAAAGGTAACAGGGAAAAAAACGGGTGATGCTGATGCTGAGGCAGAGGTTATATATCGGGCTGAAAGGGAACAGGCCACCACGAGTTCCAAAAGAGTTTTACAGCAGAAAGTAGTCCGGAAAAATTATAGTAATATATATCCAAGTGAATTTTTTTAAAAAAGTGAGTTAAATGATGGGGTAGTGGCCATCAGTCTGAAGTTTAGTTATCGAGAATAAAAATATATTAATATTCAGGATGGAAAGCAAGACGAGTTTGGACGACGGAAACGGAAAATCGGCAGCCGGAACCGGGAAAGGAAAGCACCGTCAACGAAAAAGTAATAAGAGAAAATTAATATTAAAAAAAAAGGGAAAACAAATCCAACATTTTTCGATTAGGGTCCCTAAATAAAGATAAATTATACAATATCTGGACCACGTGCCACCGGCTCCGGGCCAGACCACTGCTGGAAGATTTATTACTCTATTTATTTATTTATTTCGTCCGCAATAATTTATATAAGATTCGTTCGTCCACCTTAGTATAATTTTATATGTTAATTTATTGGAATATTTATGCACACATATACATATCTATCCCACATGCATATATCGTGAATTGTCTAAAAACATATATCTATTTATACCGTTTCTTAATATTATAAGCAGTACCTTTAAGCAAAAGATAAAATTTGATATAAGTAAAATTTGGGGAAGCAAAGAAACGAATATATATTTACATAAACCAATGTAAATTTGCGGAGGTCTCGCAACAGTTGATATGTAAAATAACGTGTAAAGTAAATTACACACATATTTGCGAATGTATGTAGTAAGGAATCTCATATAAATAACTTTAGAAATCCCGAGATGAAAATATCTCAATATTT